TGAAATGAAGTGCCTATTGAAAGCAAGGCTCTAAGAGGCTGATGGCCATTCTATAGAGCAGCATGAGTGACAGACAGACTTCAAGCTCGTTTACTAATTACTAAGCTCAAGTGTTGGAGAAGGCAATGGCAACCCACTCCAGTACTCTTGCCTGGAAAACCCCATGGATGGAGGAGCCTGGTGGGCTGCAGTCCATGGGGTCGCTAGGAGTCGGACACCACTGAGCGACTTCACTTTCCCTTTTCACTTTCATGCATTGGAGAAGGAAATGGCAACCCACTCCAGTGTTCTTGCCTGGAGAATCCCAGGGACGGGGGAGCCTGGTGGGCTGCCGTCTGTGGGGTCGCACAGAGTCGGACACGACTGAAGTGACTTGGCACTTGGCACACAATCTCAAGTGTTCACCAGAAAGCTAAGGACTTTTAATGACGATGATTGAAAAATCTCACATTTCTTGCAGAGGCAGGAACTAGGGGAAGAGGTGTCATCCTGGGGCCTAGCACCCCAAGTCAAACAGTGGAAAGACAGAACTATAGCAGGTCTGTTGGAGCTGGAATCACAGAAGAGTTGCAGCTGGTGGTGGTGGTGATATGAAAGTAGAAAAGGAGGGGGAAAATCATCCCAGCTTCTCCCTTTCTCCTGCCCTCCAACCTCTTACTCACACAGAAGTCAGAAAATATAACTTACTTATGACAGTTTACCTGTGACATGGAACAGAGGAGGGGAAGGAGAGGAAAGTATCTGAGGAACACATTCAGACATGATGCAAATGGGAGGCCATTTTTTCCTGCAGTCTGGAGATGTGTAACTACTGTCAGATTTCAGTGAACCTGGAAGGCAATTATAAAGTCAAACCCAAGAGGAGAGGCAAATAAGGGTAAAGTTTTGTTGATCTGTGTTAGCAAAGTCTAAAGAACACATGTGGAAATAGACCCTGAGAGAGCATACACTGACCAGAGATCCTTATTTCCAGAGGCTATTTTGAGTAGCCAGAAGAGTTCCAATTGTTTGCTTGGTTGGTTGGCTGAGTCTTGGACCAAGTAGTATCCACTAAACAAAGTTAAGGTGTCATAAATTTGTTGGTATAAAATAGAGTTTGGAGAAGGGATAGAGAAGGGAGATTGGAATATTGAAGACATTTCCATGTTCAATATTTTCACCCATTCATGAGCTGTATTTCTCAAATGGTTCCAGAGTGTTTGAGGCCAAAATACTGGAGTGGGTAGCCTTTCCCTTCTCCAGGGGATCTTCCCAACCCAGGGGTTGAACCCAAGTCTCCTGCATTGCAGGTGGATTTTTTACCAGCTGAGCCACCAGGGAAGCCCCCAAATACTGGAGCGGGTAGCCTTTCCCTTCTCTATCAGATCGTCCTGACACAGGAATCGAACTGGGGTCTCCTCCATTGCAGGCAGATTCTTTACCAACTGAGCTATCAGGGAAGCCGTGATAAATACGTGAGTGAGGGAAACACTGTCATTTTTGAAAAACACTGTCATGGCTATTCTCTGTAAGGCTGAGGATAGTCATTGGATGCTGTGTTAAAATGGGCTCCCTGATCTCACTAGGGCTACCAAGACCCGAGGGTGGCAGACTCTTAGCAGGAACACTAAAGGCCAGGTGGACAAGGTCACCAAACAGGCCCAGGAATGGAATTCAGGTGCAAGATGAATAATAAATGCCCATGAATATCTACCTCTTGGCTTTTCCATTGACATAACTCTTTCTCCCAATACTTACACTTCAAAGTAAAGGTCCCAATAAGGCTTCCACTATTACACAGCCAATCCATGGCTAATTCATTTCAATGTATGACAAAAACCACTGCAATGATGTAAAGTAATTAGCCTCCAACTAAAAAAAATAAATGGAAAAAAAATAAAGAAAAAGAAAAGAAAAAAAAATTGGCAATGTATTCCAATCATCTTCAAAGGATTTAGCCTAATTATTATCAGTAACTGTATTTAGATGAGATAGTTGTATGGCATCACCGACTTGATGGACATGAGTTTGGGTAGACTCTGGGAGTTGGTGATGGACAGGGAGGCCTGGCGTGCTGTGGTTCACGGGGTCACAAAGAGTTGGACATGACTGAGTGACTGAACTGAACTGAATTGTATTTAGTTGCATGTCCACAGTCTGGGTGGTTGACGGTCACCCCTCTGACAACCATTATTTTGTCTAAACATTCTATAATATGAGCAATAAATTGTAAAATTGACCACCCCAACAACACATTTATAATATGAAGGAAAGAACAGAAAAATTAGTCTAAAATAGTTACATGATTGCATTTGATTGAATCTAAGGATCAGTTGCTAAACAGCTTGACTTACAGATAAGGAAACTGAAGCCCAGGGGGGCGGGGTAACCCGCCCAGGACAACAGCAGAGAGAGACCCTGGACTTCTGACCCTACACCGTGTTCTCACAAACACTACCTGCTTCCTCATAACAGAGAAGAGAGACCTAGGTCCCACCTCCCACGAGGTGTCTTTCCTTGACCCTTGGGTCCTCAGCTCTAAGCACCTCTGAGTCTAGCTCCACCCTTGCAGCAGTTCTTCAGCTTGGAAGCACTGTGGCCCTCTGACCTTGCTTCCAGGCCCTCCTGGGTACACCGGGCGAGGGGTGGGGTGTGTATCCTGTGGGGCGTTATGAGCATTGTGTATGTATGTGTGCAGGGGGTAGGGGGATGGGGTCTGGGTTCCTCTCTGGGAATGGGAGGGGAGCAGAGATGGGAGGGTTCTGATTCTGTTTACTTGATGGACCAGGCTTGATGCTGAGCTGGGTGGTACTTGCTGATGCCTGGTCTCCTCCTGCCCCTTCCTATGACTGCAGGCTGGACAGCTTCTGACTGCCTGGTGACTGAAGGCTCCTGGTTGCCTCTGATCTCCTGCTTCTTCCTGATCTGCCCCGTTGGGACTCCAGCCTGCCCCGCCTTGCTGCATGCTCCTTGGTGACCAACTTGACATGGGCCCTAGAAGTTGTGCCCCAGAGCATGGCGGAGCTCTGTCTTGCCACTTCCACTTCTGCTCTGTGCCTGAATGCCTTCTCCCACTTCTCTGGGCTCAGGGTCCTGGCCCCGAGTCTACGTCTCCCTCAGCTTTTGCTAGGAGCTCTCAGTGGCTTGGGACAGCTCTTCTTCATAGGCCTCTATACAGATTACCTACTCCCTGATGGCAACCTAAGCTTCCTCCAGCACCTCTTTCTCTTGGGCCCTTGCCTGGATGGGAACATGGGGTTCTGGTTGCCTCCCAGTCTATGGTGGCTGAGGGTCAAGTCCAGCTGCCTTCAGAATGTGGGGGAGCTGGTTGACATATTCCCAGACCCAGTGCTTGGCCCCTCCTCTGGGGATACCTGGCCCCCAGGGATGTTAGAGCTGTTATTCAACCATTGGCTGAAGATGGCCAGTCATGGGGCCCTCCAGAGGCTCAAGCTGGGGACTCTGTGTTTGGACCATATGAAGGTGAAGGCAGCTGTAGGGGAGGACTGGGGCTGCAGAACCTGGACACGCTGTCTGTGATCAGCACTGACACGGCCGAGCTGCCCCCTTGCAGCTGCAGGAGCTGAATTTGGCATCCCCTCTGGTAGGGCACACAGCACTGGAGGCTCCGGCTTCCTGCCATGGCCTAAAGAGCCTGAGTCTTACAAGCAGTGGCCTGATTGACCTGTCGCCAGGTGTCTTGGCTGCTGTGCCCAGCCTTCGGAAGCTGAACCTGAGCAAGTGCCATGCTGGGCAGAAATAAGGCAGGGCCTTGTCAGGACTGCAGGCCCTGGCCTCATCCAACAGGGCTGCATATCCTGTCCCTAGCCACCTTTTCCCCTTTGCTCCAGCTACTTCAGGGAAACCAGCTAATTTGTCTGAAGGGCCAGGCATTCCAAGGCTTAAGGGAAAGCAGCTAATTTGTCTGGAGAGCCAGGCATTCCAAGGTTTAAGGAGGCTGAACTTGGCTAAGAATTTACTGGTAGCCTTGGCTAGGTCTTCCCTGGTGGCTCAGTGGTAAAGAATCTGCCTGCAACCCAGGAGACCTGGGTTCGATCCTGGGTCAGGAAGATCTCCTGGAAAAGGGAGTAGCATGGCAACCCACCCCAGTGTTCTTGCCTGGAGAATCCCATGGACAGAGGAGCCTGGTGAGCTACAGTCCATGGGGTCATAATGAATCGGACATGACTGAGCTACTAAGACTTTCTGTTGAGGGCTGGTTGGCTCTGCTGCCTACACTGACTACCCTAAACCTGCTGAATATCTGAATGTTGCAGAGCCCATTTGGGGCTTCTAGGGCCCAGCACATCTGCACACCTTGAGCCTGCAGCCCCTCTCTGGCCCTTCTGGGGTACTGTTTTCCCTGCCCATGAGCTTGACTAGCTTGGAGTTTCACGGGGTCTCAGGCAGAAAGCCTGGGAAGCTGGCTTCTAATATCTTTCCAGTCTTGGCAGATCTTGACTCTAACAGGCTGGGGACTGCAGCAGGGGGCCTGGATGGTCACCAAGGCCTTCCCTGCCCTTTGTCAACGCTCCCTGCTTGGGGAGAGCTTCAGGCCCTCTGGGCCAAGGACACCCCCAGTCTTTTTCTCTAGCGGCTCCCCCAGGGTAAGGGAGGATGGACATAGCCCCAGGCCCTGCTGCATCTCAGGACTGGCTAGCCTACAGGAGCAGAAGCCGCAGGCCCCACCCAGTGTGGCTTGAGGAGTAGATGGGTGAGGCTCGAGGTGCTGCTTCTGGTCAAAGTGGGGTTGCAGACACCACGTGCTGTTGCTTTCCAGGGCTTGGGCAGTCTCCAGGTCTTAGTGCTAGACTGGGAGACAGGCCTCGAGCCAGGTGACAGCCTCCAGGACCAAAGTCCCCAGGTGGCCCAGTACACGTGTGCCGGGGTCCAGCCCCAGCAGGATCCAGGGGAACCCTCAGGACGAACGGCGTCGGCGAGAGAGAGACACGTAGGACCGGCCTTGATAGGGCCAAGTCTGCGAGGGAGGGAGAGAGAGAGAGAGAGACCAGACCAGGATATGCAGCAGAGTCTGGCAGTTGCTTTATTTTTCACCGTCACCTTTATACCCTAAGCTGGTACATTTCTAAGGGGCAAATAAGCACACAGACTTGGTCTAACGTTACATCAGCGTGTCCTGCACGAAGCCAGGTGTGCGCTGTATATTTTGTTTATGAGCGTCTTTCCCGTGGATTTTTGTGCATTAGCTTCTGGCCTTGAGCTCAGCAGGAAACAGAGAAGTGGCGCTCTCACGGTACAGCAAGTCGCAGCATAATAGAAACACAATCCTGTTAACATAAAAGTCAGTCTTTTGGCAGAAATTCTCAGCTAAATGTATCTAAAAAGTTTAACACACAAAGACTCTGTGGCTCTGGTGAGGCAGACCCTGTTTAGCGCTCTTGGTTAAAATTAACAATTATCTTATTGTTTTTACACTAGAGCTAAACTCTTATTTTTCAGATCTCCAACTATATTAACAATAGTTTCCACTGTACAACCTCAGCACATTAACATCAATCAAACGTTGATCCAATAACCACTTTTAAATCAATATTTTTTGTATTTTCTAATAGGGCTTCCTCACCCCCAAAGGGCTCTGTGCCTATTAGGGCCTTTTTTATGGTTAATCTCTATGTATAATATCTTTTGGCTTTCAGGCCTGTTGACAATTTATGGTTTGCACCTGGTGCAACTTTAAGCAACTTCAGTAGCCGACCCTGTCTTTTTTGTGGTTAATCTATTTTCTTTCTATTAGGTGTCATCTCCACGGGAACTAGATAGGATTACATTTTTTACAGAACAGAAATGCAAAGGATTGCAACAACAGCAGATATGGCACAAAACAGGCTCTTAGTCTTAAAGTTAATTACCTGCAAGAAGTCGCCAGCTAATCTCTATCTAAACTCTATTTTATTAGGCACATTTGTGGCTATAGTATTTGTGGAGCTTTTCTCACCCCACACAGGGACCTATGCTAAATAGTTTCTTTTGTTAACATATTGTGCTTAGGATGTTTAGAACAATCATGAGCATTTTGTGCAATGAGAGCATACATTCATCAAACAAGCCAAAATGCCAGCAAAAGGATTTGAATTGAAGCATTTCCTTCATCCCTGGCCCCTTAATAGGGTACCAGCATCCAGGAGATTTATTAATTAGGGTTTTAAGTTGTTCTTTATTCAGTGAAAGCGGAGCCGGAGAACTCTTGGCAGGCAACACAAGAATCTGCAACAGGGCAAACAAGAACAACGGCAGATAAAGGGGGAGGATACAGGGTGGGGCAGAGGCCGAGGCCAATCTGGAGGGTCCCTTATCCTAGACGGCCTTGCCTGTCAGGTATTTTCCTCATGACCTCGTCATGGATGGGGTCCCGGATGGCCTTGCCTGTCCGGTATTTTCTTCGTGACCTCGTCATGGGCGGGATCTCCCATAATGGCTCCCAGCAATCACCTGTCCCGTTTTGAGGCTGAGGAACGAGAACCTCTCTCGGGGGTGACTGTGAACAGTTCTCCTTTCCAGGTCATGAGTGACCCGATCCTGCACCAGAAGAAGCTGCTGAAGCGGGCGGTGTGATTCTGGAGAAGGGCGCGGAGCAGGAGGACGAGGTTCTGAGGGTGCTCTCCCTGCGCGCCCTCGGCAACATGGCCCTCGGTGCCCCCAGGAAGGTCCGTGGGGGCTGGGGTGGGGGCCGGGGGTGAGGGGCCCATGGCGGCGTGTCCCGGGCAGCCAGGTGGACCCTGATGGCCCCGTGCCCCCCAGGTGAGGCAGTACCAGAAGCTCTTACTGGAGAAGTGCCTGAGTTCCCTTCGGGGCCCCGGCGCGTGAGCACCAGCGTGACCTCCGAGGGCCTGGAGGTCCTGGCCAAGGTCCTGGCTGCGGGAAGGGGACCTGGGGTTCGCCTTCAATGCCATCTCTGAGCAGTGCAGAGCCTTCTTTGACAACGTGCATCCACACTGGCCCCTTGCTCGGCCCTGGCCCTCACGGGGGTCCCCACGAATGGCTGCTCAGTAGACAGGTGGCCACTGCTCATCCCCTAAAGGAGAGAGTGCCCTGGAATGAAAAGGGGTGTAGTTCTGACTTGGGTACTGATATATCGACTGGCTGATCACGGGGGCTGGTTTAAAAAAAAAAAAAAAAAAATCTTGTTCTAGGGCCCATGGGACCCTCCTCCCCTGACTCTAATTCCTCCCAGCCACAAATGCTATATGGATATCTGTGATTTGTAGGGCGGGAACTCTGCTAGGTTGGGGTGGTAGGCGATCAGATCCAGCACAGCTCCCGTCTAGGCAAGAGAAAGTCACCAACACCAGAATACTGCCCAGTCCCCAGAGCCCTGCAGGAGACACTCCATCCTGATGGAATGATCCAGAAGGCTTTGCAGGCACCAAGGTGTTTAAGAAGGTCCACGGCAAATGGCTGGGGTTTTATTGGGCTTCTCCTTTCCCACGTTTCAGAAACAGCTTGTCTGTCTTGGCTGCAGAAGAGTGAGCTGCTGTGTAAAAAGCCTTCATCCTCTTCGGGAAGCTGGCACAGGTGGTCAGGATTTCCAAGAAGCATTTCTTCAAGCAGGAAGTGAAGAAAGCCTGGGTGCCCCTCATGCTACACTGCCAGGACCCCTGCTCCGATGCCGCCCAGGTGAGACACACCTGGGCTCTGTGGGCAACGCCCAGGGCCCGCTGTCCCCACAAGGAACACGCGCTTCGAGTCTGCTGCCCCAGCTCCTGGGGTGTCCCCTGTCTCCCTCAGTCTTCCCGGGACCCCAGAGGCCACCATCTGCTGCTTCCTCCCACCAGGCTGAGAAAGGGACCAGTCAAGATAACCCACAAACTGGCTGATTGAGGAGTCTCGGCTCTGTGAGGGGAAACACGGCGTACTTTCCTTCTTCCCCAGATGCCTTCACCAGCCACCCTTTCTTCTGTCCTTCTGTCAATATTTGTGTCCGACGCTGTGACCCCATGGACTGCAGAACGCCAGGCTTCCCTAGCCTTCACTGTCTCCCGTAGTTTGCCCAGACTCACATCCATTGAGTTGATGCTGCCATCCAACCATCTCATCCTCTGTCACCCCCCTCTCCTCCTGTCCTCACTCTTTCCTGGCATCAGGGTCTTTTCCACTGAGTCGGCTCTTTACATCAGGTGGCCAGAATATTGGAGCTTCAGCCTCAGCATCAGTCCTTCCAGTGAACATTCAGGGCTGATTTCCTCCTTTAGGACTGACTGGTTTGATCTCCTTGCGGTCCAAGGGACTTCAGGCGTCTTCCCAGCATCACCCCTGAGAGCATCGAATCGTCTTCACTCAGCCTGCTGTATGGTCCAGCTTCCCCACTCATACAGGACCACTGGGAAACCACAGTTCTGATCATACAGACCTTTGCTGGCAAAGCGATTTGCCTCTGCTTCTTAATATGCTGTTTGGGTTTGTCATAGCTTTTCTTCCGAGGAGTAGGCGTGTTTCAATTTCGCCTTCAGGTTTTGATTTGCATTTCCTTAATGGCAATGGTCTTGAAAATGTTTTCATGTGATTACTTGCCATTTGTATCTCTTTCCTTTGCCCATTTTTAAATTGGCTTATTTGTCATTATATTATTGAGTTATAAGAATTCTTATATATTCTAGATACAAGTCCCTACTCAGGGGCTAGATTGGCAAATATTTTCTTTCATTCGGTGGGTTGATTTTTCACTTTCTTGATGGTACCATTTTCAGCACAAAAATTTTTAGCTTTGATAATATCCAATTTATCTTTTTTTTTTTTTCATCACTTGTGCTTCTGCGTGTTATTTCTCAGAAGACTTTGCTCAGGCCAAGATCATGAAGACTTATATTTACATTTCACTCTAAGAATTTTATAGTTCTACCTTTTATATTTACATATATGGTCCATTTTGAGTTCATTTTTGTGTATGGAATGAGGAAGGGGCCCAACTTCATTGTTTTGTAAGTGGCTATGCAAGTCTTCCCAGCATCATTTATTGAAAAGACTACTCCTGAGTACCAAGAATTGTCTTGGTACTATTGCTGAAAATGAATTGACAGTAAATGTGAGGTCTATTTCCAGACCCTCAATTCTATTCCATCTATCTATTATCTATCCTGATGCCAGTATCACCTTGTCTTGTTTACTATAATTATGCAAGAAGTCTTGAAATTGCAAAATATGAGTCTTTCAATTTTGTTCATTTTTAAATCATAACTGTGTTGGCTATTCTGGGCCTCTTATAATTCCACAGGAACTTTAGTTTCACATTGTCAATCTCTGGGGGTGGGGGTGGGAAGCCAGCTTGGATTACAGTGGGGGTCGTGTTGAATATATAGATAAATTGGCAAGTGTCACCATCTTAAATATAGTGTCTTCTAATCTGTGTACATGAACTGCTTTCCATTGGTTGGGACCCTCTCTGATTTTCAACAATGTTTCTAGTTTTGTAAAGACCCCTCAATGATGAAATAAACACACACAGTGGTCATGAGCCAACAGCTGGATGAGACAGGGAGGAGAAACGAGTGTGTGGGGAGGGATGGGGGTGGGTGTGCAGCATGGTTTGATAGAAGGTGTTCTGTCTTCTACCCCGTCTGCCAAAGGGGGAGGTCCACCACCAAGGCCCAGCTCCATTTCCCCCTCCAGGCCTTATCTTCCCCCTTGGGCATCCTGTGGATCGGTGCCACCTTCACCCTTTTCACTATTTACCAAAACACATTCAGATCTCATTCCTTGCCATGGACTCTGCTAGGGACGACACTGCAGGTGGGGCTGAGGTGAGAGGAATGAGGAAGCTGGTGACTGCAGGGGAAATGCCCCCCAGCTCCAACAAAGCAGGTTCTTGAGGGGAAAACAAGACAGAACAAAACACCACAGCCCTCGGGTCTGGACCAGCCAGCCGTCTCCCCTCCCAGGGCGCGGTGGGCAGCCTCAGGCCTACCTGGCCTCACACGGGCTGTCCCCGGAGTCCCCTCCCTGTCTGAACGGCCCTGCCTCTGGGAACCAACCTTCTCCAGGGAGGGGCTGTCGAAGCTCTTGATCTGGTTGTTCAGCTCTTTGCTCAGACTCAGGCTCCAGCGGGAATCCCGAGGCATCTTGAGGGAGTTTCTCCGAAACTGGGGGTGGGGGAAGAAGGCAGAGGTGGGCAGTGCTCCAGAGGGCGGTGCTCCTCGGCCGTGACTCTCCCCCTCCAGCGCCTTCCCCGGTCTCTAGAGGGCTTCCCCTTTCAGCCCCGACCCAGCCCTAGTGCTGTGCGGGCTTGGGGGCTGCCGGGAGGGGGTCACCCTGTCTGCCTCCGGGGCTTTGGCTTCCAGGGTGGGGTCTCCTGCTGTAGCTGCCTGTGCTCCCCGAGTCTTGTGACAGGAGGGGAACGTGTCCCCTGGGGGCTCCTGAACTCCCCACATGCCAAACCCACAGAGAGCTGCCCCCACCGCCCTCACCTCGGCCTCAGGTGGCGGGATCACCTCTACCTGAATCAGCCTGTCCTCCCACATCTTCTGGTTCCAGGTAAACTCGGTGTGTTCTGCAGAGAGAAGGGCCACCCCTGCTCCTCTCTCCTGCGGCTCCTCCATGCCGCCTCCTAAATGCAGCATCTGGGGTTCTCCATGGACGGGCTCCCCACAGCCCCAAGTCCCTCCCCACCCTCCCAAGGAGCAGAGTAGGCTATGCCGGCCACCTGGAGCCCGGGCGCCTTTGCTCTGGCCATGTGACTGGTACTCGGCTTGTACAGTGATGTGAGGTGGCCACACACCCCGGGCTCCTTTGCTCAGACCAGGTGGTGAGTACCCAGCATGTACACTAGGGTTGTGTGGGGGGATCACACATGCACTCAGGATCCTGTGCTCAGCCACAGGTCTAGCACCTGGGGGGTACACTTAGGGGCTGGCTCACACATGCACCCGGGACATCTCACCTTCCAGGTACTTGACTAGCAGCAGGATCTCCAGGGCCCACATGTCAGCCATGGAGGGGGCGATGCTCTGGCTCAGGATCTTCAGAAGGTTGAGCATGGCGATTCCACAGCTCTCCCCCTTGTAGGGGGACGACATCAGTACCTGGGGAACACCGAGACTCCAGTGGGGCCCCTCGCTGGCTGGGTAGCCCCAGGCCCCCCATGCCCCAACCTGGGGCCTCGCTGTCCGAGCCCATAAAGGGAAAGTTGGACAGGATGGGGCCTTTCAAGCAGAGCTCCGAGGATTCCCAGGATCAGAGCATCCCTGCAGAGGATGCTGAAGGCAGGAAAGGAGACACGAGAGCATGGGCTCCTCCCCACCCCGGGTTCCATGGAGCTCGGAGCAGGGTCAACACAAGGAGGAGGATGCATGGTGCAGGGCGGAGCTGACCCCCAGGGAAGGGCAGCCTGCTGACAGAGTCCTGCGGATGCTTGGGGCCATTCAAAGGCCCAGCAGAGAAATCTGGGAGCCTGTTGCCCTTGCCATATCTCCCCAGAGGGATGACGGGTGCCTGGAAAGCTCTGTCCTGCCAAGCATCCAGCTCCCTGCTCCCCATGGAGGCCCTGGGGATTAGGAGCTCATGGGAGGGGCACCTCAGGACACAGTGGGGGCCAGGCCAGTGCACGACCCGTGAGCCACTCACCAGGAGTCGGGTCAGCAGCTTCTGTGGTGCGGGCAGATCCACTGGGGAGAGAAAGATACAAAACACTGAGGCTGCCCCGCTCCCGTACCTTGGGGGAGCTTCCCCTGTAAGGTGTTACCCCAACAGCATCCCAGCATCCCCCAGAATTCAGGAGGGGCCAGGACGGGGGGTTTTCCACAAAGTACATCACTACAAATGGCCATCCCGAGAAGGAGGAGCCTGGTGCTATGGGCTGGGGATGAGAAGATGCTCTTTTTTTTTTCCAATTTATTTATTTAAATTGGTGGCTAATTACTTCCCAATATTGTGGTGGTTTTTGCCATACATTGACATGAATCAGCCATGGGTGGACATGTGTTCCCCATCCTGAACGCCCCTCCCACCTCCCTCTCCATCCCTTCCCTCAGGGCCATCCCAGTGCACCGGCCCTGAGTGCCTGCCCTGTTTCATGCAGCGAACCTGGATTGGCGATCTATTTCACATATGGTAATATACATGTTTTAGAGCTATTCTCTCACATCATCCCACCCTTGCCTTCTCCCTCCAAATGCAAATGTCTGTTCTTTACATCTGTGTCTCTTTTGCTGTCTCGTATATAGGGTCATCGTTACCATCTTTCTAAATTCCATATATATGCGTGCATGTACTGTGCTCTTTTCAGGACAGGCCCGCTTGGGAGTGCACACCCGGCCGGCCTGAGAGTGTTTCTCTCCTACTGTGAGTCTTGGCCTCCTTGAGCCAACAGTAACTAGACACCGCCCCCTCCCCTCCCCTCCCTCTGCAGGCTTTGGGAGGCTTTGAACCCACAAGTAGGAACTCACAGCATTTGGACCAGCGACTAAGGGAAAGGCAGCCTTGCTGGAAGCTTCAGGGAGGGGCGGCACCCAGGAAGGAGACAGCCCTAGACACAGGGTCCGGGCAGGAGGCAGACCAGGGGTGGTCTAGCCGGATGCTCAGAGCAGGCTCTGTCCCTACTATTGCTGGGTCCTGTAGGCTCGCAGTCACCTCCTGTCACCAGCCACATCCATACTCAAAGCCCCAGGACCATGACAGCAGCCCGTGAGACAGCAGGGTCCATGTAAGTAGGTCGGTCTAGTCCCATTCTTGAGGGTCTGGTGCTAAGAAGGGCGTCAACACGGTGAGTTGGAGGGCCTGGTGGGGGTGGTTCCAGAGGACTCGGATGGGATATCTAGTCCTTCCAGTGGGCTCACGGGGGCCAGAGAGCTCACACCCGTGGGAAGCCTGAGCCAGCACTGCTGCCCTGGGGTCTGGGTCAGGGTGGGCAGGAGGTGGGGATGAGAGGAGCGGGCTGCCAGAGGAAGCCTGCAGGGCTTTAACCTCCTCGGATTTCGGCAAGGGCGGCCTCTTTGGCAAGGCCTGGCTCTCTGGGCTCCAGGCTGCTTCCTGGAGAAGGGGGAGCGGTCCGAGGCACGGGGCGGCCCACCTGCCCAGTCCCTCCAGCTGGCGCAGGGGGGCTGCCCACCGTGCCTGCTCTTGCTTGCGTTGGCCTCCTCATCCTTGGCGTGCAGCTGGCGCTCGGCCAGGTTGGTGAGGCTGCCGCAGATGGGGGTCAAGGCCTCCGTGTAGTCCGTCTCCATGATGTAGCACAGGAGCCTCACCCAAAATTCCTATGGGGGCGATGGGGGTGAGGTGGGGGTGCTGGGATCAGCCAGCCTGAGCATCGCACTGTCCTGCGATGAGATGGTCGGTCCCTCCCCACCCCAACAGCCTTGTCTCAGCCTCGCTTCTCCAGAACCACACTCTGACCCACTGACTGACCGCCTCAGGCCCGCTGGCTCTGCTGTCCAGCCTGGGTCTCGGCCAAGGCCGTCTAAGCTGCACCCACCCCGTGGCCGAGGGGGTCAGCTAGTCCTAGGCCCTTGACCTCTGTGCCCCCTGCCTCACTCCAACCCCGCAGCCAGCACATCCTCTTTGAGCAGCCCTCTCTCTAACCCCCAATCCCCTAGAGAGGCACACTGGGCAGACAGCCTAGCCATGCTTACCAACTGTGATGATTAGTTTCTATGTGTCAACTTGGCAAGTGAATGCACAAAGTTATTCAATCAAAACTAATCTAGGCATGGTGGTGAAGGTATTTTGATGCAATCTGATGAAAGTCCATAATACATATAGGACGTTACTCTGGATAATGTGAGTGGACTTGATCAAATCAGTTGAGGGCAAAAAACAGGTTTCCCTGAGGAAGAAGAGAGTCTGCCTCAAGGTTGTAGCCTCAGCTACTGTCTTAGTTTTCAGTCTGCCAGCCTACCTCCTAAAATTCAGACTTTCCAGCCTTCCCAATTGCACAATACATATGTTGTTGTTCAGTTGCTCAGTCATGTCCGACTCTTTGCGATCCCATGGACTGCCGCACGCCAGGCCTTCCTGTCCTTCACCATCTCCCGGAGTTTGCTCAAACTCATGTCTATAGAGTCGGTGATGCCATCCAATCATGTCATCCCCTGTTGTCCCCTTCTCCTCCTGCCTTCAATCCTTCCCAGCACCAGGGTCTTTTCCAATGAGTCGACTCTTCCCATCAGGTGGCCAAAGTATTGGCGCTTCAGCTTCAGCATCAGTCCTTCCGATGATTATTCAGAGCTGATATCCTTTTGCATTGACTGGTTTGAGCTTCTTGCTGTCCAAGGCACTCTCAAGAGTCTTCTCCAACACCACAATTCTAAAGCATCAGTTCTTTGGCACTCAGACTTTTTCTGGTCCAACTATCTCATCTGTACATGACTCCTGGAAAAACCATAGCTTTGACTATACAGATATTTGTCTGCAAAGTAATGTCTCAGCTTTTTAATATGCTGTCTAGGTCTGTCATAGCTTTTCTTCCGGAGAGTAGAAATCTTTTAATTTCATGGCTGCAGTCACCATCTGTAAAGATTTTGGAGCCCAAGAAAATAAAGTCTGTCACTGTGTCCATTGTTTCCCCAACTACTTGCTGTGAAGTGATGGGACCGGAGGCCATGATCTTTCTTTTCTAAACGTTCAGTTTTAAGTCAGCCTTTTCACTCTTTTCTTGCACCTTCATCAAGAGGCTCTTTAGTTCCTCTTTGATTTCTGCCATAAGGGTGGTGTCATTTGCATATCTGAGTTTATTGATATTTTTGAGATACACACACAGACACACACAGACACACACAGATATCTCCTACTGGTTCTGTTTCTGTACAGGTTCTTCGAGCCATGACTCTAGCCTTTCAGCTTCACCCTGCCATCTCCCGTCTCGCCAGGTGATCACTGAACACCCCCAGTGACCCTGATTCCTTTTAGCCCCACTTCCACCCCTAGGAGTTTGGGGTGAGCTCCGGTGCTACTAACAAGTGAATTTGCTTGATGTGTTGTAGCCATCAGGACTAGAATCCCGGGCTACTGGGTTCCCCCAGGGATGTAGCATAATGAACAGGAAAGACCATTTTTATCCTGGCTCCACTTTTTAACAGCTTAGAATCCTTGAGGAAATTAATGAGTCCCTCTGAGCCTCAGTTTCCTCATTTATAAAAGCTAGGTAATAATAACAACAGACCTTACCTCACAGGGTGCTTGGGATAATTAAATAAAATTCTAGATACTACACATCTGGTACAGTGCCCGCCACGTGTACTCAATGAATTGTAACCACTATTATTATTTTTACTATAACTATTATTTTTGTAATTAGGAGAAGCTGCCACTGGATGGGGAGCATCCGGCCCATGGCCTCAATTCACAGACAGTGGTTCCCTCCATGTGCAGTCATGGTAAGCTTTCCCTATCTTACTGCTATGTCACATTGTAACGCAATTAAAAACTGACACATTTGTTCCCCTAAAGCCTGTGAGCAGCTTGGGGTCACACTGAGCCTTCCTGTGTATGCCCAGATGCCTCACACAGAGTTGGAACTGTGAATGTTTGTGAAATATAACCCCTAGAGTCACTTATTTGCACACGCACACATGTACACACATGCACGCATATGCATGGGCTCCCCAAGCGGCTCTGGTGGAGAAGAATCTGCCTGCCAATGCAGAGGACAGGTTTGATGCTTGGTCTGGAAGATCTTCTGGAGGAGGAAATGGCACTCCACTCCAGTATTCTTGCCTGGAAAATTCTATGGGCAGAGGAGCCAGGTGGGCTACAGTCCATGGGGCCACAATGAATCGGACATAACTAAGTGAGTGAATACATGTGCACGCGGGCACACACACACCCCTGGACTGAGGGGCTTTAAGGTGAGGGATGCACTTCAAGCAATAAGTCAAGTGATACGTATTAGGCCTACTGTGTGCCAAGCACTGCCCTGCTGAACGTAATAAGGTCCCATGAAGGAAGTGAATCTTGAAAAACGAGCTCAGGTAATTGAAAGACCTGGGGCCACCCATCCTCCCAGGTAGTGGGAATGGGAGAAGCAACAGTGCAGAATTCTGGGCCTGTGCCATCCTCCCCGCACAGCCTCGCACAGCACAGACATGAGCCATCAGCCCCAGTGGGCCAACTCACATTGCTCATCCCACTGACAGAAGAGGTTATGATCCTCACGGTGTCCATGGGGACCTTGTGGACCAACTTCTCCTCTAGGCCCCTCTGATAAAAGTTGTCCCTGCGGTTGGTCTGGAAGACAGAACCAAGGAGTGCCTGCTTGTGGGCTGGCAGGGTCTTGCCATGGTCTCACCTGTGGTTTACTTTCCCGCAAGAGGCTTACACCCAGATATTGAGTCTCCCGGAAGCCCAGCACCGTGCATGGGTTTCACTGTTTTCTAGACCCCTGGCAGCTGACTGTGTGTGTGTGCGCTTGTACATGCATGCAGGTTTATTGAGCTGTGCTCTCTCCTCAGCGCAGTGGGAACCATTTCTAAAGCCCAGCCACTCCGCCGTCACTCACCAGTTTGTTGGTGGAAAAGGTCAGCTGCACAGACACGTACTTCAGGCCCCAGCCTTTGATCCTCTCCTGGAATCCGGACAGGGCCAGCTGCCCAAGGATGTGCAGAATGGCCATCCTCACCTGAGAGGCCAGAGCACAGACATGCTGGGCGCTAGAGGTCCGCCTGCACCCAATCCCATGACGTAAGACAGCTAAGATTTGAGGGTGCTGTGGTCTGGAAGGGGTCTCTGGGGCTCCCTGGATGCTGCCCACTCTGTGCACCACCGCCTGCCTCATGCAGGGGACCCGGCTCAGCAGCAGGTCTACCCAGGAGCCTCATCTGTGCCCTTCAGAGACATGAGCACACTGCTTTCTCAGCAGGGCTGCTCCATCCTCAGGCGGCCCTGGTGAGAACCGCCTGCCTCTTCTCTCGGGCTCCCCAGGGCTCACATGTGGGGACGACACAGAACAAGCCTATTCCCTCTGCCCCTGACATCCTCCAGGGACTGAAGACAGCTCTGCCTCAGACTCAAGACCGAGCACCCTGTTCCCTTCCTGGATTGTGCAGACCGTCACCATCCTGAACTGCACCCCCAGGACATGAGGGGTCCGCCGCAGGGGCCGTGTCCAGAAGCCAAGCTACTCTCCACGGGGCCGAGGTTGCAGTGGCCAAGATTGGGGGTTTTAGCCTTTATTTGCAGAGTTGCTTTTCTCAAGTGTGGTAATGACCTTACAAAACACCTAGCTAGCCAAGCAGCTTGGGCTGACACTGGGTGTGTTTGGCCTCTCCTCTCTCCAGGGTAGTGTCAGAGCCCCTTCCGAGGAAAATTCCAGGTTCTTGGTGACAGGGAAGGTCTTGGGAGAGGGGCCACAGCTTCGAGGAGACTTATTCTTCTCCAGCCCCACTCAGGACTGGCTGGAAAGGTAGGTTTTCCATCAAAGGGCCTTCCTTGAGAAGGCAGCCTCACCTCCACGCACAGAGCTGGAGGGGAGGGGTGGCAAGCAGGCTGCAGCTGATGCAAGAAGGATCCGACTTCCCTCCACTTGCCCGGCAGAGCCCCAGCACACTCCCCCTTTCTGGGTCTCCCCGCCCTGTTACCTTGGACCGGGTGTCGGAGAGTGTGTTCTTGACCACTCGGATGGCCAGGGAGATGGTCCTGATGCTCATTCTGGGTTCTGAAAGAGGAAAGCCCGCCTGGAGGTCCAGTGGCCTCAGGGCTGGGCTCTGAGGAGATGCCCAGAAGTGGTGAGGCCTCTCTGCCACCTTCCACGGGAGACAGAGGATCAGGACCCGTCCGTGCCGTGCCTCCTGAGAACCTCTGACTCAGCCCCACAAGCTCAGGGCCGCTGCCCTCAGAAGTCACCCGGCGCTCTCAATGCCCACCCACCCCAGCCCAGGGGTCGTCTCTTGGCCTCACTCCCTCGGCCTCTGCTCCGCGTGTGTCTCTATGGAAACTAGGGGACTCTCCCTGAGGGCAGGGCCTCCTCCTGAGAGCTCAGGGGTCCCCTCAGCGGGACACACATGGCCAGACACACAGCGGACACACGCAGACCGCCCCGCCCGGCTGCGGAGGCCGGGGCTCTGGGGCCAGGCTGCTGCGCTGTCTCTGGCTCCACCGCATCCCACTGTGTGACCGCGAGGGACTTACTCAGCCCCTCTGAGCCTCAGCTCCCTGCCCTGTGACAGGCGGACACTGAGAGCAGGTCCCTTCTCAGCCTCTGTGAGCAGTGACACGAGCTGACACACACAGGGCCTGGTGTGCAAGAGTGTGAGTGTGTGCTGGAGGGAGGGTGAGGAGGAAGGTCAGGGAGGTAAGGAAGGGCACGGAGAAGGCTCTCGAGAGGTCGGCCTGGACACATCCACAGTCAGGCACTCAGGGCCTTGCTACACTCAAGTCTAGGTGCAGCTAGACCTCACTGCAGGAGGGGGAATAACAGGAAATCAGGTCGGGGTGGAAGACAGCGGGAATTCAGGCACCAAGGGACGATGTTACACTTAAGAGCTTTTCATCTCTACAATGGAAACCTTTTTTTCTGATTATAAAAATAGTCTACGTTCACTGAGAAATTAAAATAAAAGACAACCAGCCTTCATCGTTTAGCTGTATCCTTCTCAACTCATTTATGCATAAATGAGCACCTAGATTTCTTTCACATCACAGAGGTCATGGAGGTGGAGGTGATGGAATTCCAGTTGTCCTATTTCAAATCCTAAAACATGATGCTGTGAAAGTGCTGCACTCAATATCTCAGTCAATTTGGAAAACTGAGCAGTGGCCACAGGACTGGAAAAGGTCAGTTTTCATTCCAGTCCCAAAGAAAGGCAATGCCAAAGAGTGCTCAAACTACTGCACAATTAAACTCATCTCATATGCTAGTAAAGTAATGCTCAAAATTCTCCAAGCCAGGCTTCAGGAATATGTGAACTGTGAACTAGATGTTCAAGCTGGTTTTACAAAAGGCAGAGGAAACAGATCAAATTGCCAACATCTGCTGGATCATCGAAAAAGCAAGAGAGTTCCAGAAAAACATCTATTTCTGCTTTATTGACTATGCCAAAGCCTTTGACTGTGTGGATCACAACAAACTGTGGAAAATTCTGAAAGAGATGGGAATACCAGACCACCTGACCTGCCTCTTGAGAAACCTGTATGCAGGTCAGGAAGCAACAGTTAGAACTGGACATGGAACAACAGACGGGTTCCAGATAGGAAAAGGAGTACGTCAAAGCTGTATATTGTCACCCTGCTTATTTAACTTCTATGCAGAGTACATCATGAGAAATGCTGGGCTGGAGGAAGCACAAGCTGGAATCTAGGTTGCCGGGAGAAATATCAACAACCTCAGAAAAGCAGATGACACCACCCTCATGGCAGAAAGTGAAGAAGAACTAAAGAGCCTCTTGATGAAAGTGAAAGAGGACAGTGAGAAAGCTGGCTTAAAGCTCAACATTCAGAAAACTAAGATCATGGCATCTGGTCCCATCACTTCATGGGAAATAGACAGGAAACAGTGCAAACCGTGGCAGACTTTATTTTTCTGGGCTCCAAAATCACTGTAGATGGTACAGCAGCCATGAAATTAAAAGATGCTCACTCCTCGGAAGGAATTTTATGACCAAGCTAGATAGCATATTGAAAAGCAGAGACATTACTTTGTCAACAAAGGTCTGTCTAGTCAAGGCTATGGTTTTTCCAGTGGTCATGTATGGATGTAAGAGTTGGACTGTGAAGAAAGCTGAGCACCAAGAATCGATGCTTTTGAACAGTGGTGTTGGCGAGGACTCTTGAGAGTCCCTTGACTGCAAGGAGATCCAACCAGTCCATCCTAAGGGAGGTCAGTCTGGGGTGTTCATTGGAAGGACTGATGCTGAAGTTGAAAATCCAATACTCTGGTCACCTGATGCAAGGAGCTGACTCATTTGAAAAGGCCCTGATGCTGGGAATAATTGAGGGCAGAAGGAGAAGGGGGCAACAGAGGATGAGATGGTTGGATGGCATCACCGACTCGACGGACATGGGTTTGGGTGGGCTCCAGGAGGTGGTGATGGACAGGGAGGCCTGGTTAGCCACGGTTCATGGGGTCACAAAGATTTGGACACGACTGAGCGACTGAACTGAACTGAAAGAGTGAGACATGACTGATAAAGTTTCACTTTCTCTGTTGCTGAAATTTGCATTTCTGTAAAAGATGGGTTTACTGTCAGGAGAATGTCTCTCACATACAGTTGCTCAGCCTGTGTACTGCACAAGGATAAGCAGCTGAAGGGCTGAACTGATGCCAACCAAGCACTTCTCAGGGCTTCCCAGGTGGCCCTAGTGGAAAAGAACGCTCCTGCCAATGCAGGAGACGTGAGAAACGTGGATTTGATCCGTGGGTCAGGAAGACCCCTTGGAGGAGGAAATGGCAACCCACTCCAGTATTCTTGCCTGGAGAATCCCATGGACACAGGAGCCGGCATGCTGGGACACAATGGGCGGGACTGAGCGCCTGCGCACAGCACGTGTGCTTCCCCAGCCATGCAAGACCAGCCGCGGCCAGCAGAGGGCGCCGCGTTCACATTCAAGCGGAGGCTCTCTGCGCCGGCGCTCTCCGGAACAGCGTGTCCCTGGGGATCGCTAGGACAGGCTTGGGGTCTGGGCTGAGGGGATTCGGAAGCAGGGTTTCAGACTAAGCTTAGGCACCGGCTCAACGGGGCTTTAGGGCACATCTATACTGTGTATCTAGGCTTTATATGCAGCCTTCCGGCTAGCTTTGGGAGCTATACTAGGATTTGTGCAAATGGTTTGAAATTCAGGCTCAGGCAGAAGCTGGGATCAGGGCTGAAGGAGCGGGGCTAGGCCGTGGAGGGTGGGACACAAGGCTGGTTAGGTTCAAGAACGGGAAACGGAGCCACGGAGAGCCCTGACTCCGCGGCCCACCCAGCAGGGTCTACAGAGAGGAAATGGCCCAGGCACTTCCCCGGCAGTCCAGGGGTAAGACTCCGTGCTTCCATCGCGGGGAGCATGGCTTCGATCCCCGGTCAGGGCACTCAGGTCCCACATGCCGCCGCAGGGTGCGGCCAAACAGTTAAGGGGGAAAAAAGGCCAGATATGCCTGACACCTGCCACCCTTGCTCCCGCCCGGCCTCCCTGCGGGGTGAGTGCTCAGCATCTGTGCTCACCACTGCCCGATCAGGGCCAGGGTCCCCACCCGGACGGCCTCCTTGCTCATCTCCATCTGACTGAGGAAGAACTTCATCAGCTCCTTGGGGTAGGAGCAGGCTGCAGAGGGTGAGGGGGAAGGACAGCTTCAGTCGTGCCCTGAGTCAAGGGCGGCAGCGGGACAAGGCGGGCCCGGCGCTCAGAGGGGGCCGGCACTCCGGAGGGCTCCCGGGGCGCCCACCAAGGGCTATGAAGCGGTGCACGATCTCTGCCAGGTTCTGGCTGCTTTACTGGTGCTGGGCGGGGGCCCTGGAGCACACCTGGGGAGGGGCGGGCAGGGGTGTGTAGAGGTCAGCCCCACGGCGGGGCACACGGGCAGGAGCCCCACCTGTGCCTCGCCCCCGGCAGGAGGCGGGAGGCCTGGGGCATCGGACGGGGCCCCACCGCCACCCTGCCATCCGTTGCGCACACCACCCGAACACCACCCGGCCCCAGCGCGCCTCCCCTGCCCGCCCCCAGCCCGTCCCCTGACCCGCCCCCAGCGCACCTCCCCTGACCCGCCCTGGGGAAGGCTACGAGCCGCGCGGCCCTGGGGCTCACCTCGACAGCAGCTCCCTGAAGATGATGTGCAGCTGCATCTGCAGGACTGGGTTGTTGGTGATGAAGGACATCTCCAGGATCTGCCTCAAGACCTGCAGCAGGTGGGAAAGGGTGGCAGGTGACCTTCGACCAACTCAGGTCAAACGCCAGACCTTTGCCCCTTGACCTTCCCCCTCTGGATATATCAGTATCCCCTGGGAGCTGGGCAGAGAAGCCACCTCTCAAGCGCCGCCCAGACTCCCTAGTCCCACTCTATTTCCAGCCGCCTCTGAGGATTGCAGTGGACACTACAGCTCGGCTGGGCTGCACTAGGGCCACCGAGTGTGGTGTTCAAGGCCTTCTTCCCCTTTCTCCCCTAGCCACCTAGAGATGCATCCCAACTTTAGACAGAAGGTCTGCACGTGGCTCCCCAAATGCGGCACGTTTCTTTCTGTTCCCAGCTCTCACCAGGAGAAGGGCCTCACCTCATCTGTAAATGAGTGACCCCCTTCACAATATACAGCAGCCCAGGTCACAACTTGGCTCAGAACCTTGCAAAGACTTCATCTCACACATGTCCAAGGCTGGTAAGAGGTTGAATGGTGTCCCCCGCTGCCAGAATCCATGTCCACCCACAACCTCAGAATGTGAGCTCACTTGGAAATAGGGTCTTTGCAGACCTAATTACTTAAGGCTCTCAAGAACAAGTCAAAACCACAATGAGGTACCATTACACGCCAGTCAGGATGACTGCTATCCAAAAGTCTACAAGCAATAAATGCTGGAGAGGGTGTGGAGAAAAGGGAACCCTCTTACACTGTTGGTGGGAATGCAAACTAGTACAGCC